TATTTATTTAGACTTTTAATCGCATTGATCTATCCCCATTTGTAAATTTGTACTCCCCATTCCCGAAAACTCTGTAATAGCATAGAATTTCAATTTCTACAATTTACTGTTTTCCTTATACTGTATAGTAATTAGGCGTGCATGGCAAGACATAAAATCAATCGCTAGGTAACCTAATTTCAACAAAATAACTTGAATCAAACACACTTTTTCACACGCGCACCTCTAGGGTAACCTCGTTCGTTGCCTCGGAAACACAGTCATGTCCCTCGAATATGGGCGCTTTAGCAAAGACCCTCGATAAAAAAATCGTAGTCCCTTGATGACCCTCGACGTTGCCTTTGATAAAACGATCTAGTCCCTTACAAAAATTGCTAAAGCGTCTCATAAGTTGCTTTTGATGACTGTAAAATTGACCCGTGCCTGTCCCTTTACATCCAATGATGGGGCTTCTTACCAAATCAATGGTAAGGTAGCAACATTAAAAGGAGGAAGAAAAGAACATTTGAGACATTTCGAGTAGGTAGATTCGCTCCTAGTTACTCGCTTGCTCACGATAAAAGAATTTTTTTTCACCAACACGTTCATCTCAAAACATCTTCAAAATACAAGACATTTTGTATACATTCTTATAGAGACGAGAACCATTGCAAAACATCTTTCCAAAACACTTTCCAAAACACAATCCACAAACACATCTTTGAACCATCTTTCGAAACAAAAACTGTGTACGCGTTCTTATAGAAACGAGAACTATTATAAAGAGATTTTTTCAAAACACTTTCAAAGCCCACACCACAAGCACACTGTCAAACAAAAGCAAGTGATCTAAACAAGTAACTAAGAGCCCATGGAAAACCATGGATGAAAAGGGTGCTCATACCTTCCCTTTTCATAATCTACCCCCCGAATCCAAGAAATAATCTCGAAAGGTCTTTCCCGTGCTTTTTTACCTTTCCTTTTGGATAAAAGAAAAGTCGGTGGCGACTCTTGCTATCCGCATAAATGCGATCAAAATGCAAAACACCAAGTCAGTTCTCCCACCGTATCACACTTTCCCTAACCAGAAGAGGGATGCTTGAATTGGGGGCCCTTCCGGGAAACTCTTCGAGGTAGAATGTGATCGGCTCCGATCTTCCCTTGACCCTCTCGAATGTCACCGCTAGCGGGGGGCTGTGTCAACCAACTCGTCCAGCTTCCTCTTTGCAAAGTTTATAGATATGTCGTTGAACCCCCTGCCATTTATAACCACGGCGGAGGGGAATCTTTCCCACCTACTATGCATACACAGAAGTTCTTCTTCGTGCGTGTCAGAGACGTAGAAGTCCTTCGGTCTTGTAACAGAGAAGGCTATTTAAATGGGGGTCATTTCATCCGATGGTCGGGTATCCTCCTCGGCCTCCTTTGTGTCGCAGGCATATCAACAGGGGGCGTCGCCATGCTGATATTGCCCGAGTCTGCCCCCTTTAATGAGGGTTTTAATAGCATCTTTGAGATGGACACAGTCTTCAGTCAGGTGTCCATGAATTTGATGATACTGGCAGTATTTGCTCCGGTCAGACCCGGGCTTAGCAGGAGTGGGCGAGGACGTCTGACATCGCCGTCCTTGAAGTCAGTATTAGCGCACTCCGCCAAGATGCATTCACGGGAAGCTGTCAGCGGAGTGTACTCATTGAATCTCCCCGCGGGCCCTCTTTGCTCACGAGGATCCCGTGGTTTGTCATCCTTCCTCTTCTTGCCCGTTCGTCTAGGAAGTCCTGAATCTTGGTGTCGTGGATTGTTGGTTGGTCCATAATTCCTTGGGTCGCGGGCTCTATTAGCCGATTCCCTCTCCTCGTAGTCCATGTAGACCCTAGCCTTTTTGAGGAGAGCATCAAATGTCCAGGGTGGTTCGATGCCAACGACCTTCCTGAACTCCGTGCTCGGGAGGAGTCCCATCTCGAGTAGTTATCTCTTTATATGATCGGTGCAAGAAACCTGAATGGCCTCGTGGTTGAACCGATCAATAAACTCCCTAAGGGTCTCGTTGCTTCTCTGGACGATGGCCTCAAGGGCTGCCTAAGTCTTCGGGTGTCGACGTGAGGCAGTGAATGAGGTGATGAATTGGTTTTTCAAGTTTCTCTAGGAGGTAGTTGACCCAGGGGAGAGGTTCTTATACTAGTCCATCGCAGTCTTTCTCAGAGCCGTGGGAAACAACCGGTATTTGATCGGTCCCCCGACGTTATGATAGCGCAACATTGTGAAGAAGTGAAAAAAACAAGAAGGTGGGGTTGAATTGAAAACTTGAAATCAAAAGCGCAATGACACTGTATTTTTATCCTGGTTCGTTTGATCTCAAACTACTCCAGTCCATCCGTCAAGGTGATTTCGCCTCTCCCGAACGAGGTCTTAATCCACTAATCTCAAAAGGATTACAATCACTACTTTAACAATTGTTAAAGTCTTCTTGAGTACAACCACAATCCGGTTAATCTCAAGGAACATTATTTTAAAACAAAGATACAAGAATGTGTGTTGTTGTTTTTCGTTACAAAAACTGTTATCACAACTGTGATAATTTACACAAAATTAGAGCTTGGAAAGCTGATGAATAATGCTTGTAGCTTTTTGAATTCTCGTGAATAGTCTTAGCAAATCATTAACGATTTGAACACTGAGCTTGTTTATATAGGCAATGGATTTACGTTGATCATCAAGCGTGTTAAATGACATTAACTCAGTTTCTATTTGGAGAAGATCCTGTCTGAAAGAAGCCGTTGTAATTGATGCTGTATTGAATGATTAGTAACGCTTCATAATCTTTCATCCTTGCTTACTGCTGATGCTTCAACACATTGATGACTTGGATTATCATGCTCTTGTTCAGAATCAGAGTTTACTTCACTTAAGCGCAGGTCCTGGTCATCAATCTTCAGTGCATGTTCTGATTGCTTCAACGTGTAGCTCTTATGGCTTAACTTCTGATGCTGCTCTGGTCAGAACTTCTGCATACACAATAACATAATTTTTAGGTGCATATTTGTTCTTTGTATTTGTTATCATCAAAACTCTAACTAAGGGTTGTAGAATCAAACTATGTTCTAACACATTGCCTCGAACCCGTTGATGTGGTCGACTGGATCGGCAATGCTGTCATACTCCTTCAGATGGGGAGGTTTCTCCATACCCTGGGGAACGGGGGCCTCCATAATAGCCTGAGATAGGGGACCGCGGGGGTCGTCTTCGTCGCTTTTGTCTACATATCGAGAAGGCGACCTGTTGTAATGGCGGCCCTGGTCGCGGGGAGGGTCCCTAGGTCGGTGTCGTTGTTCGTCATTTCCCCTGTTTCTATTTCTAGGGGGTCTTCGCTCTTGGCGCATGGGGATGTGATCATGTATCCCCGTATCAACGGGCTGATCCCTCTCCAACACGGGGCGACACCCGGTTCGTCGAGGAGAGGGGCTTCGAGAGGCATCTCGTCAGCGTCTCTACGAGGGAGATTGGAGACGATCCTCTATCTGACGAGCAGGAGGAGAATCAGGCCTCATGTGTCTTCTGGGGGCTCTTTGAGAATCTTCGAGCACCCTTAATCTCTTCCCTTGTGAAAAGATCAAGTAGTTTGTTTGATTTATAGCCGGAAACAGTGCCCTGGTTATGACATTTGCACCCGTAAGAACGGGGACCTCCTGGAACGCGTTCGGCTGATAGTTTTGGGGAGGACGACGACCGTCTTTGATTCGTCGGGACAGTGATGACAATGAGGCAGTCAGTCAGTCTCTATATTTTGAGGGGCCGAGTATGTCCACGGCGTGGTCGATGTTGTTGTTTCCGGTGTCGTGGCCAGCGGGACCAGCATTGTTGGTGTCGGCGTTGTTGACGTCGGCGGGATGGACATTCAGGTTGTTTTCTGTCGTGAGGTCAGCCATGACAGTCAAAAAGGAGTTGGATTAGCTTTTGTCTTATGCAAGTGAAAGACGGGGAAGCTTTTTTCCCACAGACAGCGCCGCTGGTCGTACCTGACCAGAATGGACCGTCACAACTTACTTCGAGCAGTACTTGAGAGTGAGGTGGGGGAGGGTACCTGCAAGACACTCTGATGCCAAAATGAGATACGGAATGGTGCAAGCAAGTAAGAGAGTGAGAAATGTTCAATACCTGGCTTTCTCAAGAGAGAGGGTATTTATAGCCCCCAGCGCTGGACCAAGGTCTCCTCATTGGACTGGTTAAGTAGGCCCAAGGTGGCCTAAAGTGGAGACTGCCAGGTTCTACGTGAGTAGTGAGGACCAGCACGTGGTCCTCCACCTGAGTGACTTCCTCTGCACGATCAGGAGGATATGGATGTGGTCTTTCCGGAGCCATGAAGACTATGTGATATTCGGAGACGTTGATAGTCAGCCGAGGAAGATGCTCATAGGGATGCTTCTGCTCATTGTGGATGCTTTCCGCCAGACACGAGGTCATATGGGAGGATCAGTCTTGATAGAGGAAAGGATTGGAGGGTGACCTCGGAACTCTCTTGACCAGTGATGATCTTCCTAAGACTAACTGGATTTATCCCCGTGTGGTGAGACTACCTCCTCGCGGAGAGTGGAAGTTGCTATCCGACGCAGTCGATAGTAGAACCGGCCAGCATGCCTTGACCAGCATAATTGAGTTGGGGCAAGGGCAAACTCAGTCCAGAATAATATATATATATATATATATATATATATATATATATATATATATATATATATATATATATATATATATATATATATATATATATATATATATATATATATATATATATTGGTGTATATATAAAAAGGAGGCAAATTTGATTTGAACCGAAAGAAAAAAGTATGGCGGATCATATGCAAAACCCAAACTGGAAATCTAATTAAGAAGAAGTCCTTGCAGTGCAGAAGCGCTTAGTCAGTTAGAGAAACCTGCGTTCTCCTGTTCCTTTGCGGCGGTGCTATTTCGCCGATTCAATCCAAACTCCTCGTCGAAGATGGATCCATCGTTGTCTGATTCAAATGTTGAGGTTAGCAATCATATACCCGATGATATCGTCTTCTCTATTCTCTCCAAACTTTCTCTCAAATCTTTCAAGCGATTTGAATGTGTATGCAAATCATGGTCTCTATTATTTGATAACCCTAGTTTCATGACTATGTACCGCAACTATTTCATATCTAAACACCATTCTTTTTATGATGATATATCTCTCTTGCGAAGATGCATTGTACTCTCTTTCCGATGATCGATTTGAGAATATAGTTAAATTAGATTCGCCAAACATTCCAGTTCTACCTCAACTTCCACCTCGGTTTCCAGTGACAAGTAGGAGACTAATACATAGCGACACAGTGAGACGGAGGACAATAATAAACAACGGCTTCTCTTTTGAAATTTTGCGTCCCATCTGTTGTAACAGCACTTTGTCTCCAATATCATAACATCTACGAGCGTGATGTTTTTTATTTTAATCCACCCTTGGCGATATTAAATGGATCTATTGCTTTTTGTGAGAAATTATAAAGAGACAAGTACATTTCATATTTCAATTTTGGGTGAACTCGGTGTAGGGAAATCCTGGACTAAACACTTTACCTTGCCTTAAGTGTCCGATTGGAATAGTGATCAGAAAGAAACACAAGAAACTAGCTTGGTTTGATTTAAGTACCGGGACTATTGATGACATCGGTGTTACAGCGGGATCTCATTGCAAACTGTTACTCAATAAAGAAAGCCTTCTTCCAATTGGAGGAATATATAGTAAATTTTCTTCTTGTTTTCACCCAGAAGCTATATGATTATGGCCATTTGAATTTTACCCTGTTTATGCCAAATTAAGAAATAGTTTGATAATAAGAATTTTGTTTGTCTATCTATATGCAAACTGGCATGCTTTTTGTTTCAATTTCAATTGTAATAATGGTCTTCTTCCTTTACTCAATTGCCTCAGATTTTATGCATAATAAATAGCTTATATTTGTGAAGCTTGATAATCTTTGCTTGAATTTCATTACATTCTACTTCAAATGTCTATGCTTTAGGGAGATGCGTGGTTGTCCTCTTTCATCTGGTTACAACTGTGTACTTGATGTTACAAACTTCCGTCATCGGTGGTTGGATTCACTGTGTGTCTATTACAGATTTGTTACCTTGCATTTTCCAAGTATTTGCATGAGGCTGATGTGACGACTTGAACTGTATACCTTCTGGTCACACAACATATTATGGTATTGCTTATGCTTTGAAAGTTCTTCATTCTGATAGAATGCATTTCGAGAAGCAGAATGGTTGGACAGTTAAGAAAATTGAAACTGAGAACGAGTCATTAGTTCAAGATTGTATTCGTGAAAAACTTGGATCCGTGCCCATTCAAGATGAATATGCTCAATATACACAGTACTTCTTTGAGGAAGGAAGCAACCCCTAATTCAGGAAGGAAGCATCATTTTTGGTGGATGACCCTCAAGTTTGTGAAATCATTTCGAGGTTGCCATGACATGACACGAGGCACTCACCGAGAAGCAAATTGAACCGTGGGCAACGTCTCTAATAAAGCCATGACACAAGCATCTCCAATATTAAAGAAAGAGATCATAAACCAACACTGTTAACTTATAAACAAATAAAATAAGTGATGTAGAAATCCACCTAGAATAAAATAAATTGGTTACAGTTCTATACCAGTTACCTCAGACCGTCAACAATGGCATGATGTCACTCATGATCATGACTACCTAATGTTAACTTCATCATTACACAAAGTGGAACTCAATCTTTCAGATTTTAATCTAGTGCTTTGTCGGCCAAATCATGACTTTCTATACTATATATATAGCTCTAATTCAGCATGATAAAGAAGCAGTGGAATCAAAATGCTTTCCCAATTGGTAAAGGAATATTCTTATATGTGTAACTTTGTTGGTGTCTTATTGATGTTGTTATCATGTTTTAAAATGTTGGTAGCACTTTGGTGCAAAAAAAACAAGTCCAGTAGTGTTATTGGAAGTCCTCCAGGAAATAGGGGATTACCCTTCATAGGAGAGACACTGCATTTCATGGCTGCCATCAATAGTACTAAAGGAGTCTATGAATTTGTTCGACTTCGCCGCCTCCGGTAACCAAACAAAGCACAAGACACTACTTTGTCCTTAAAAACTTTGATTTCATAAATCATATTCATCAGAGTCGTCTCAAGTTTAACCATGGAAAAATAAATAGAGATCCTATTTTACTCCGATTTAATCATCACAATATGTTATGAGGTCCTATTTAACCATGGTTTAACCGTGATAAATTTCGGAACCTATGCAGTAGCCTGCCTTGCACGCCCTCAAAGTCGACCTTGATTTTAAGTATTTATTTATGTTTCCACTTGTTTTGATATGCAGATATGGAAATTGCTTCAAGACCAAGTTATTCGGGGAAACACATGTATTTATTTCGAGCAAGGAGTCAGCAAAGACAATTCTAAGAAACGAAGGAGGGAAGTTCTCAAAGAAGTACATAAAGTCAATCTCCAAGCTCTTGGGTCCTGATAGTTTGCTGTGTGCAGCTGAGCAGCATCACAAACTTATTCGAAGCCGTCTTTTCAGTTTGTTCTCACCTCATTCTTTGTCTTCTTTTGTTCAACTCTTCGATCGACTTGTAGTCAAAGCTGCAAGTACCTGGACATGTGGGTCCCTTCTCATCATACAAGATGAAGCCCTCAAGGTAACGGCACAGTTTTTTACACTTATGTTTGTGTAATCTTGCACATGATCTTTACCAGGACTGTCTTTGACGACGTGTAAGACAGATTACCACTCAGGATTTAATATTTATCACAGTTAAACTGTGGCTAAATAAGGTCTCATAAAATATTTATCAGCGTTAGATTGTGGTTTTGCTAGGATTGAACAGTGCCTAACCTACACAAGACCTCCAAATACTTGAGACGATCAATACTGATATGGTATTATACCAGTATAAATGTTTTTAACTTTAAGGGCATGATGTTTGTAATGCAGCTAGCTTGTAAGGCAATGTGCAAGATGCTAATAAGCATTGAAAATGGTGATGAACTAATGGTAATGCAAAAGAATGTTTCTTGTGTGTCTGAAGCAATGCTTGCACTGCCTTTGAGATTACCATGGACCCGATTCTACAAAGGCCTTCAGGTGATGATTATACAAATCACCCAATTTTTTTTTTTAATTTACAAATTATCTGTTTAGTGTTAATTGGTAATTGATAATGCAGGCTCGAAAAAGAATTATGGACATATTGGAGAAAGTTATCAGCGAAAGAAGAGGCGGAATCGCAACTAGCCATGTAGATTTTCTTCAACAACTTTTGGCAAATGATGATAATAAATTAGAAAAAGATGAAGTTATAACAAGGCTAACAGATGAAGAGATCAAAGATAATATCTTAACTATGATTATTGCTGGTAAGAAATATAGTGTACTATTGAATTGAATTGAATCTGTCCGAATACGATGTACAACAAGTTTGAAATTGCAGGACAGGACACTATAGCAATTGCAATGACATGGATGATCAAATTTGTGGATGAGAATCAAGATGTTCTTAATGAACTTAAGGTCAGGGAATTTTTTATACTATTTAATTCTTTATTTTCAACATATTTTTTTGGTATTTACTTACTAAATTATAGTTGTTTGGTGATTAAATAGAAGGAACAAGATGAGATTGAGAAAAATTGTAGAGGAAGTGTGAATCTTACATTAGAGACTCTTTCTGAGATGCAGTATGCATCCAAGGTAGTAAAAGAAGCACTAAGGATGGCATCTGTAGTGCAATGGTTGCCTAGAGTAGCACTCGAGGACTGCGAAATCGAAGGTTTAAATATATATGAAATATATATTTACTTAAAGGCTTAGGATTTACTTGGATTATGAATAGTACTATATTATTACTTAAAGGCTTGTTTTATATAGGATTTGAGATCAAGAAAGGTTGGAACATTAATATTGATGCTAGATCAATACATCATGATCCAAGTGTTCATAACGACCCGAATGTGTTCAATCCTGCAAGATTTCCTGTGAGTCTATATGTGTATGATATGGCCAAATTTTAATGTTAGAAATTCATGATTAGATATATAAAATGTAGCTATAATTTTGCAGAGTGAGTCAAAACCAAACAGCTTCTTAGCTTTTGGGATTGGAGGAAGAATGTGTCTTGGGAAGAACATGGCTGAAGCAATGATGCTGGTGTTTCTTCATCGTCTCATCACTCGTTTCAAGTGAGTGGTTTCTATCATTCTTTATATTAATCTCACTTTAGTAACATTCTTATTGTTATACCAAATGATTGAATTGTATTCATTTGTTCAGGTGGAAGGTGATTGATTCTGACTCGAGTATTCAAAAATCGGCACTTTTTACAAAACTTAAGAGTGGTTATCCCATTCGTTTGATATATGTGAAGGAAGAAGAGATGAACAAAAAAATTGTGTGAAGACATAAACAATGGATGCACCATTTTCAATATATCAATAGATGTTTGAACTCTTTAATATACCTAAGTACTAAGTGCAACAATATAGTGAATATAAGTGGAAGTTTGCATAAGTCGACTTAACTATTGAATGCGATATGAGATGACAGGTTGTGTATTGGTCAAATAAATTAACTTGCCAATCAAACGACTAAAAATAGTTGGATATGAGAGAGCAATCCCTTGATCTTGAGAGAACTTTGTACCCATCTGCAGTGGCGGAGCCAGAAATATTATAAAGCCTGGGCGAAAAATTAAAGATCGCAAATTCACATTGTATATAATATATAAATACTCATCAATCAAAATAACAGAGACTCGTCATTTTGTCCACAAAAATATAGTTTAAAATAAAAGAGACAAATATAACCTTACAATAGCGGGTTAAATAAAATTACGAGGCAAATGTCCTTTCCGAGACTTTTTTGCGGTGAATGTTCGAATAATATCAATATCATTAAATGATTTGAATATCTCTCGCTCAGTGTAACATACCATCAAGTCATTGAACCACACATCATTGATCTTATTGCGCAATTTAGACTTGATAATCTTCATTGCTGAAAAAGCTCTTTCAACGGATGCTGTCGACACCGGCAATATCAAAGCTAACTCAATAAGTTTATAAACCAATGGAAATACTAAGAGTTTTTGGGATCAAGACATGAAAAACAATTAAGGATAATGTTACTTTCTTCACAGTGGCGGAGTCAGAAAAATTATGAAACATGGGCAAGTTTTCACTGGCTCCACCACTGACTTCATAATTTTCTACCAAAACCGTATTTGACATAATTATTTTTGACGAATCGTAACAGATAATAATGGAGCTTGGGCTTTAGTATATCACAGACTATGCCTAAAACTACATACACTTACTATTAGGCTGAGATTAGTATACATTAGTAATTGTATCTTTGAAACAAAATACAGAGTTAATCAAATGCAGAATATAAGAAATAGAAAACCGATAACAGAAATTAGTATATGCTAGTATGTAGAATTCTGAATGCAGAAAACAATTAATAGTTAACTGGAACTCAAATGCACAATGCATAGATTAGTATATAGTAGTAACTTTGAAATAGAATGCAGAGTAATTCAAATGTATAAGCATGTATACTACAATGAAAATTAAACAATACAAAAGCTGAAATAATATACTGGTTTACAAGCACATTCAAATAAGTTGAAACAATACAATGAAAAAATATTCCATGACAAACTATAACAATAACAGAACAATAATATTGAAATAAGTTGCACACACTTAAACCTTTGATTTATTCACAAGAGAAAAATACACCAAACAATAAAAATCATTATTAACAAAATAAACCAAGATAATCTTGACACAGGAATGTCTAATTCATTTTTATTTAGTTCAATTAATTAAGCAAACACAACAAAGACGCCAGTCATTAATATTAATCATTAAACATTTCATCAAAGTTATATCTCTAAGAAAAGAAGGATCACAAGATAAGTACCATAGGCAACGAAGACTTCAACGAATTCGACGCTGACGATAGAACCTTTCTACACACACTTGACTTCTATTTTTCGTGTCTCTGGGTGTTACTAACTGAGATTTTTCACATATCCAGAATCTTCATTCATTTCAAATATCTAGAAGTACTCCCTGCATGTACAATAAGACATCAATAGAAGTAGAAGAGTCAAATTAATGGACACATATGTTTCACATTTAAACGGATAAATTTTACACATAATATTTATCATTAACTTAAATTGATAGTTTTTGTACATAAGGTTTTCCAGTAGTCCAATAGAAAAGTTGATATACTCTCTGGATTGGATTCTAGGATGCCCAATAAGAAAAATATTCGTTCAGAAATTTTACCGAACACTTGGTGGACATAGCACGAAACAACAAATTCAACACCACAACCTGCAACAACAACAACAACAACAAATAACAAAACAACAACAATGATGTAGGAGATATGAATTGAAACAGAAGCAAGAAGAAGAAAGAATCGGCGGAGGAAGGTGATGCTCACCGATAATTGATTGAACGGAAACCGGAAAGGCAAGAGTGGTGTTGCGGTGTGTATCTGTTTACGGTATGGTGTGTCGGAAGATGGCCATAGAAGATCTCCATCGCGAGATAGTGAAGCATGGTCGGGCGGAGTCTGGACAGCTGCCCTACCTGGCCGGACGCTGACAACGCATGCATCCAAGATAGTGGCACATGGATAATCTACGCGTCAGAGATAAGGGCGTATGGATATTGCATGCGCCAGAGGATATGGCGTCTTAGTGCAATTATCAATGCATGCGTCAACACAAGTGACACCTCCTCTTCGGTGCTTTTTTGTTTGAAAGATATATATTTTAGTATATGATGGGGATGGTTGGTTATTGGAGTATTTTATTTGAATATATGGGTTTATTTTTTAAATTTAAAAAAAAAAATTTAAAGTAGAAAAACAAATTTTTCTTCAGCATGGATGGTTAAAGGGGCCATGGTGAAGGGTCCACGTCAAAATCCCCCGGGAATTGTTTGAGGTATTTTCCAAGCTATTCTCGTTGCATCTTGATTCTTGATTGAGAAAATTGAAACGAAAACATTGATATTTTAAGAACCACCTCACATATTCACATCACAATGCACACTGAATTCATACACTAGAATACCCATTCTATTGCTGTTTCTTCGATTCTATTTCAGTTCTAGATATTTTTCAACTTTTTCTTCAATTTATTACGAGTGTCTTGTTACTGTTCGATGAAATGCTTCAACGACCACCCTTCACTTTATCAGGTTAAACTTGTTGGATGGAGGTGATTCTAAAGGAGAAGGAGGCTGGTGATTGGGTTTACAGAGGCGAAGGAGCTGCTAATCTTGTTCTCTCTTACATTGGATCATCTCCTACATTTGTGCGTTCTTGTTCATCTTTCTTTTTCTTTGATTGATTAGGTTGTTTTTGGAATGTGAATTGTGGGGTTTCTTTTTTTTTTTTCAGATTGGGAAAGTGATGCGTATACGTAAAGCTTCAAGGAATGATTCACTGACTGAGATTTCAACCAGCCCTTCTGCTTTGACGGCTCAGGAGCGATACCTATGGAAAGATGTTGATGAACTCATTTCATCTCCTGATAATGAAATTGCAAGCCAGCTGTTTGTTCTTCATGTTATGAAGCCATTGCTTGGTTCCAAATTTGTTGATGCTGGTGTATGTATTCGCTTTCGATCACCCATGTTTTAGCTTACTATCTTTGTTATTTTATAATCATTCTTGAATTGTTCGGTCATCAATGCGTAATAATTTACTTTGTGTTTTATCTGATTGCCACCTACCCTTTTAATTTCTTGATAGATGCATGTCCAAGTCACGAGAGGATTTTTTGAATTGGTTGAAAAGAATGTTATTCTTCAACGTCCTGCTTGGAGAGTTGATACTGCCCAGGTCGACATGCGTTGTGATTATGTGCTTGTCATGTCAGATCATTCACTCTTCGACCATGGTATTGACATGTCTTTTCCTGGACTTGCGTAGCTTTTCTTGAATTTTCACACACAATGGGTTTTAAATCCTGGTTATCTGAAACTCTGCATTTGTTAAAGCTAGAAAGAAAGGTGGAACCCTTAAAGGGATTTCTGCTTCAGTTCAAATGATATTATCCCGGAATGTGCCTGTATAATTGTGGAATGTGGGGTTGCTTTCCTCCCTAGTTTACTTTCTTTTAACTGTTATATTTTAGTACCCTACCTTGCGTAGAAATCATCTTGAGTTGCTCCTAGGGCCGGATACAGGGTTTAAAAAAAGAAGAAGAAATTACACCTCTTGAGAAGTGATGGAAGGTAGTTTTAATCTTACTTACAGGACGCAATGATTGATCGGATTATTTTTCTCCCGTTGAGTTGGAATCCAAAAAACTGCAAACACTTAGTGGAGAAAAAGTAATGTATGCAGTTGCCAAAATTACTCTTCGCCAAAATGCAACATGCTATCAGTCATATTAGCATTATATCAAGATTCTTAACCTTACTCCAGCTAGAAAGCCCTAAGTTATGCCCCCGTGTCTTTTCATTTTTTATACTGCTCCTTCTAATATGTAGGAAATACGTGAATTAAATTGTCTCTTGAATCCCTTCTCACATGTAGTAAAAATGCGTAACACATGCAAAACATTTGAAAGTTCTGTTCCAAGCTCCCTGTTTCTTTTCAGGTAACCTTGAATCTAGCCCTTGCATATCTGTTGAGATAAAGGTATGTTCTCAATAATGTCCTACTTTAAGCTTTAAAATTTTAAATGAATATAATTGTTTCCACTTACCCTCTTGTTTGCCTGCTTGTAACATCTTAAGTATTATTTTGAACAAGCAGCCCAAATGCGGATTTCTTCCTGTTTCAAGATTCGTATCTGAAGAAACTGCTATCAAAAAGAGGGTAACTCGCTTTGAAATGCACCAAGCCCTGAAATTGAATCAAGGAGAGGTACTAACCACAGAATTTAACTTGACGGTGGTCCAGTTTCTACATAGTGCATACTTTTTGCTGCATACTTTTTCCTGTTGTCATATCATGTAGCCTTAGAATCCCATCCTTCTGTTCTGTTTGCCGATGTTATGACATTTTCACTTGAATATACACTATCCCTTTTAACCCTTGAATTTGAGATTTATACTTTTCCATTATCTTTGCAGATATCATTGCCAAGTGAATACAATCCACTTGATCTGTTCTCTGGATCCAAGGAAAGAATTCATAAAGCTATCAAGGATCTCTTTACTACGCCTCAAAACAATTTCCGTGTATTTATGAATGGGTCTCTCATATTTGGCGGACTAGGAGGTGGTGCAGAAGATACAAATTTGTGCATTGCAAAAGCATTTGAAGGTGCACTTAAGTCCATCGTTCAAGGTGATGATGGTTTATGTACCGAGAACTTCCTCACTCTTGTTGCCGAGGCTGCACATAATTCAGGAGTCC